CAATTATGAAAAGTGGAATCATACAGTATTTATCTTTGTACAGCTGGCTTTTTTTTTCACTTAGCATAAATTATTACAAAATAAATTATTACAGAATTTCTTTCTTTAAAGCTGAAGAATATTTCACTGTATACATATACAATATTTTCTTTATCTGGTCATCTGTCATGGATAGTTAGGTTGTTTCCATAGCTCGACTATGGTGAATAGTGCAGCAATGAACATGGGAGTTAATCAGAGATATTCTGATTTCAATTTTTCTGGAGAAATATCCAAAAGTGGGATTGCTAGCTAATATGACAGTTCTATATTTAACTTTATTATTATTATTATTATCTTTATTTAACTTTATTATTTTCCAGTTTGACTAGAGAGAGACGGAGAGAGAGAGAAAGAAAGGGAGAAAGCAAGCCACCAGGCCCAGGACTCGAACCGTGGTCGGCCATGTGGGAGTGCAGCGCCTTTAACCACCACGCCACCTGCTGGTCCCTATATTTAACTTTTTAAGGAACCCTCATAGTGTTTTCCATAGTGGTTGTACCATTTTGCATCCTTACCAGCAATGGGTAGGGTTATAATTTCTTTACATCTTCCCAAATACTTGTTATTTATTTATTTATTTGATAGTAACCATCTTGACAGGTGTGAAATACTATCTTATTGTGAGTTTGATTTGTATTTCCCTGGGGATTAATCATGTTGAGTATTTCTTCATAAGGCCATTTGTAAGTTTTCTTTAGAGAAATGCCTATTTAAATTGTTAGCCCATTTTTAAATTTGGTCATTAGTTTCTGTTTTCTTTTTTCTATTTAGTTGTAGAAGTTCCCTACTTATTTTAGATATTAATTCCTTATCAGTTATATGGTTTGCAAATAGCTTCTCCCATTCCATAGGTCACCTTTTAAGTCTATTGATTGTTTTCTTAATAAGTTTTGATAGTTCTTTATATCTTTGGATTCAAGTCCTTTATCAGATATGTGATTTCCAAATGTTTTCTCCAAGTCTATGGATTTATTATTTTTATTTTCTTAACAGAATCTTTAGAAAAGCAAAAATCCTTATTTTTTGACAAAGTCTAATTCTTATTTTTTTCCATTTATGGACTGAGGTTTTGGTGTGTAACCCTAAGTCACAAAGATTTTCTCCTATGTGTTTTCTAGAATTTTTGTATCTTCAGGTTTTATATTTAGGTCTACAATCCATTTTGTGTTAATTTTTGTAAATAGTGTGAGGTATAAATCAATGTTCTCTTATTTGTATTTGTTTTTGTAGATAGATATCCAAATGCTCTAGCACTATTTGTTGCAAAGACTACCTGTTCTTCAATGAATTGTATTTGACCTCTGTCAAAAATCAATGTATGTATGTATCTGTGTATGTGTGTGTATATGTGTGTGTGTAGTTTCACTTTATGCTAATATCATACATTGATTACTGTAGCTTTACAGTAAACTTTGAAGTCAGATAGAGTATGTCCTTCAACTTTGTTCTTCAGAGCTGTTGTGGATATATATTAATGTCCATACAAATGTTCTGTCAATTTCTACAGAAAAAAATGGCTGTTAGGTTTTTGACTGAGATTGTGTTGAATGTTTAGATTAGTCTGGACAGAATTGATATGTTAACAATGTTAAATATCGCAATCCAGTAAAATAGCATATTTCCCCACTTATTTAGATCTTTGATTTCTCTTGGCAATGTTTTATGTTTAGTGTATTCATCTTAAACATTTTTGTCAGATTTATCATTAAGTGTTTCATATTTTTTGATATGATTAAGCGATATAGTTTTTAAATAATTATTTAATTTTATTTATCATTGTTATTTTTTTAACAGGACACATGCACTCACCAGAGAGAGAAAATACGAAAGCAAGCTGCCAGGCCAGGGACTCGAACCATGGATGGTCATGTGGAAGTCCACACCTTAACCAACATGCCACCTGCCAGCCCCAATAATAGAGTTTATAAAGATTTTTTTTTCCTTTCATGGGAGTGAGAGACAGTGAAAAAGGCAATCACCCTTAACATGGTCTCATGCTATAATCTCCCCCTCCCAACCTTCCCAGCCAGTCAGGATCATAGGTCATGTGCCTGGTCTGTACAGGTTGACTAAGGAACTGAACCCATGTACTCCCATATGGATTTGGCATCTCTTGAACAGCACCTTACTGTTGTGCCACTGAGCTGGCATATGATATGGTTTTTAAAAATTTCATAGTATTGCTAATATACAGAAATATAATTGATTTTTGTATGGTGATTTCACATCTCATAGTCTTGATAAGCTCATTATTTTTAGTAGATTCTTTGTGTAGATTCTATTGCATATTCTACAATGATGATACTTTAGTGATAAAGATGAGTTTTACATCTTCTTTTCAAATCTGGATCCCATTTATATCTTTTTCTTGCCTTGTCAACATTGGCTATAGTTTCAGCTTTGAATTGTATTATGTGAATATGTGAATTATGTTAAATTTTGAATGTCTTTTAAAATTTTTAAACTTTATTTATATACTTATTTTAAATTTTGATTTATATACTTATTTTTAATTTTGACCAGAGAGAGACAGAATGAGTGATCAAGAAAGAGAGAGAGAGAGAGAGGGAAGTGAGAAATCAAGCTGTCAGGTCTGGGACTCGAACCATGGTCGGCCATGTGGGAGTCTAGCGCCCTTAACCACCACACCATCTGCCGGCCCCTGAATGTCAGTCTTACATTCCTGGCATACATTTACTTATGATGCATTATTCTTTTTGTGTAATGATGGATTTGATAAAGTTTCATTACAAACTTTTGCATTTATGTTCATAAAGATTATTGTCTGTACTTTTCTTTTCCTACTAAATTGCTTTCTGGCTTTGGTATCAGGGCAATACTGGCTTCTGAGATATGAGTTGGGAAGCAGTCCTTCCTCTTCCATTTTTCTGTTAGTATTTGCGTGGATTTGGTATTACATGCATTTCTTCCTTAGACATTTGGCAGAACCCCCAGGGAAGGCATCTGGACTGGAGTTTTCTTGTGGTAGTGCTTTTAACTACAAATTCAATTTCTTTAATAGATACAGAGTTATTTGGGTTATTTATTTCCTCTTAAATAAGATTTCACAGTTTGTGCCTTTAAAGGAATTTGTGCATAAGTTGTTGAATTTACTGGCATAAAGTTTTTCATGATACTAACTCATTAGGTCACCAGAAAAGTCATGACACATTTTTGCATAGAAAAACACAGGAACATATGCATGAGCTTTTCGACAATATTATCCTTTTGATATTTGTAGAATCTTTAGTGATGTCACCTTTCTCATTCTTGATATTGGTAGTCTGTGTCTTTTTTTTTCCTGATCAGTTAATTGGTAGTCTGTGTCTTTTTTTTTTTCCTGATCAGTTAGGGTTAAAGGTTTATTCATTTTATTAACCTTCTCAAAGATCCAGTTTTTCTGTACTTTTCTATTTCATTGATTTTTTGAAAGAATTGTTTTATTTAACTTTGGTTATTTATTCATTTTAAAAATTTTGACCAGAGAGGGAGAGAGGGAGGGGGAGGGAGAAGGAGAGAGAGAGAGAAAAAGGGAGAGAGAATTGACCAGAGAGAGAGAGAAAATGAGAAAGCAAGGCACCAGATCCAGGACTCAAACCATGGTCAGCCATGTGGGAGTCCAGTGCCTTAACCGCCACAACACCTGCCAGCCGTGATTTTCAATCTAATATTTATTATTTCCTTTCTCTGCTTAGTTAGGGCTACATTCTTGTTTTTATTATTTCCTTTCTCTGCTTAGTTAGGGTGGAGGTTAGCTACATTCTTGCTTCTCAGCCCCCTTCCGCACCCTTTGCTTTCTGCCCTGGGTGCTAATCCCCAAAGCTCCACCTTGGACACTTCTTGCAGGTTGGGTTAATAATCTCAGAAAGACTCCCAGAAAGACTGGAACTTTATTATTTCCTTTCTCTGCTTAGTTAGGGTGGAGGTTAGCTACATTCTTGCTTCTCAGCCCCCTTCCGCACCCTTTGCTTTCTGCCCTGGGTGCTAATCCCCAAAGCTCCACCTTGGACACTTCTTGCAGGTTGGGTTAATAATCTCAGAAAGACTCCCAGAAAGACTGGAACGGTGCCTGGCATCTGATGGTGCTCAATAAATACCATGGTTCACCTAATCTTAAGTACCATCATTAGAGTCATGGGTGACATGTTAATATACCCTCAGTTATAAGACACTTCCTGGGGATAGAACAGATAGGGAGAAGCTGGTTAACAGAAACAAGGGTGCATGAAAACAAGTGTCTCTGTATTGACTGACATGCATGGCATTCCCTTTTGAAAAAGCAATGTAATACACTGTAAAGTTATATGTAATCCAATGTAATATAAAGAAGATGATGATGATAAAAAACAACAAGTGGGATGTGTTACAGAATACTATATAGCACAATAAAGAAAATTAGTGGCAATTCTATATGAAGGACCAGTGGCCAGTCATGGTTTAGGCTTAAGATGGAAGGTTTGTCAGAGAGCTGAGGCGTGGACTCCAGTTATGGAAGGGCTATGATGGTGGTGACTTCGTCCTGTAGAAGGACCAAGAGTAGCAAGTTAGTTGTGATGCCAGGACAAGAGGGAAGAGATTAGAGTGACTCTTGGAAGTTGAGTGTGTGTGAGTGTGTGCCCAAGATCCTAAGAGGAGAATGGAAGAGAAGGGATTGTGGTGTGGCCATCCCCCCAGGGCGGGGGGGGTTTCTTGCTTTCTGACTCTGTCTCTCTGGTGAGCACATGTGTCCCATAGCAAAAATCTGTCTCTAAAAATAAATAAATACTGGAATTATTAAAAGACAGAAACATTAACATTTTCCAAACAATATATGCTGGCAATCTCAAAAATGATCTATCATGTAATGCTTGGAATTCCAAAGGATGAAAACATTCCTAATTAATGCTTCTGTTTTCTTATGACATAATTGCCGAAAGAAAGAAACTTAAATCGCAGGACTTCTGCCAGTTGTCACTTACAAAAATGTAAAGGCGATCATAATCTGGAGTCAAGGCTAAGGCCTCGGGTGGTTTCATGCTTAAGATGGAAGGTTTGTCAGAGAGCTGAGGTGTGGACTCCTGTTCTGGAAGGGCTATGATGGTGGTGACTTCGTCCTGTAGAAGGACCAAGAGCAGCAAGTTAGTCATGGTGCCAGGACACGAGGGAAGGGATGAGAGTGACTCTTGGAAGGTGAGGATGAGTTACCTCAGCTCCCTGCTTCAGGGCTCGGGCAAGCTTTTGAGGTCTGTAACTAGTTGAAGATTTGTGGACGGAGAATGGCTGATATCTCTTAATTTTGTACAATTGGGGAACCTAGGGGTCAAAGAAGACAATTGACTGAATATCTGTGAAAGCCCATTACCATTCGGTGGGATCTACTTCTCAATAAACAAATTTATCTTTCTTTCTTCTCTTATTTATTTGATTCTTGATAGAGAGCAAGTGTGTGCCTGGAAGGGAAAGAAGGAGAGAGAAGAACACTCAACTGGGTCTCATGACACCAGGCTCCTTTCTCCATCGCCCTCCAGCCCCTCAGGATGTCGGGCACATGTGCACGTACGCATGCACCCAACATATCTTCAGACCAACCCAGGGATCCAAACTGGCAGTCAGTCATGTGGGTTCCAGCACTGCAGTTTAGTTTGCGACTGACCATGCCACCAGGCTGGACTAACAGCATTTCTGAGTGCCTTGATGATAAAAGTAAAATAAGCATCACATTATAGCCCCCAGACTGTGGCAGTGGCCAGTCTGGGCTAGCACCGGGTGGACTTCAGTGTGAGTCCTGAGCCTGTCCTAGGTCTCGGCATGCATAGATGTTCAGAATCACTCTCCCACACCACGTTGCGTAACTGTAGAAATGCACCCCGCACTGGTGTGTCCATTTAAAATATTTGTATCTTCAGAAGCTGAAGTGCTCATATGCCTCAAGAAAGACTGACTTTTATTCACTTCAGCTTGTGTTTTTTTCCTTGAAGTTTCTAAATGGGTAGTTTAGACGACTTCATGTATGCATGATATACAGAATATCTACAGACTGAAGTTCTTGGTTTTCATAAGCCACATTAGGAAAAAGAGTCTGTTATACCTTCCACCATAAAAGAATGACAGGAAAATACACAAAGTATGCCACAGGGTATAACCCATGATAGAACACAACTAATAAGATCATACGATACAAACTCGAGAATATGTTCACTCCATCAGAAACCAAATTAATTAATACATGTGACAGGTCTGACCTGCAGATTGAAGAAGGAATAACCCTGCTTGATTTGAACTTCTGAAGACTTAATTGGGACCAGTCCAAGGCCATCAGGAGCCTAAAAGGTGAAAATAACAAAGTAAAAAAAGAGAAAGGATAGAAAGTCAACCCTGAGCAAGAGCAGCTGTTTCTAGTTCATTACATTTGGAAACATTGAGTGAACAGTTCACTCTCCAAGCAACCTTCCCTGAGACCCTAGTTGCTACTTGATCCCAGGGGAGAGGACAGCCCTGCCATCCACTCCTCTCTCATAGTATATATGCTGCTGCTTTTTTATTTTTTAGTTCTGTGGATGTGGAAGGTATCACCCAGGATCTCCTTCAGGCTTGAAGGACTTGTCCTCCACTTGTTCTGTTGGTACAATCAACTCTTGAGATCAGCCCTCCTTGAGACCTGCCCTTGGCTGAAGGGAGCTCTCTCCTCCGAGGTCCTGTGCCCTTCTCAGCAGCCCATCTCCAGTGCCAGTTGAAGCAAAGGTACAGAGGCTGGGTCCTTGCACCCTGGGCCAGATTCAGAGCTCCTGTAGGCTCAGTTGCAGCCATTGTGGAGGTGGACTGCATTCTTGCTTCTCAGCCCCTTTCTGCACCCTTTGCTTTCTGCCCTGGGTGCTAATCCCCAAAGCTCCACCTTGGATACTTCTTGTGGGTTGGGTTAATCGTTTCAGACTCCCAGAAAGACTGGAATGGTGCCTGGCATCTGATTTGCTTTCTGCCCTACCATGGTTCACCTAATCTTAAGTACCATCATTAGAGTCATGGATGACATGTTAATATACCCTCAGTTATAAGACACTTCCTGGGGATGGAACAGATAGGGAGAAGCTGGTTAACAGAAACAAGGGTGCATGAAAACAAGTGGAATGTGTTACAGAATACTATATAGCACAATAAAGAAAATTAGCGACGATTCTATATGTACCTCAAACTAAGAGCAGATATCAAATATGCCCAACACAAACTAGTGACAAATTTTGGAGACGGTGGATATGTTTTTACCCTGATTCAATCAGCACACGTTATATGCATGTTTTGAAAGCACACCGTGCCCTGCAAAGATACACAGCCAAACGCTTATCAGATGCAAGAGACAGACACAGATAAAAAGTTCTGTTGAAAATGTTTATGGTAATATCCTTGATTTCATTGTCATGTACTGCATAAATACCTTGAAAAAAAATCATGTGCCATAGAGATGTACAATGATTGACTATAAATAATAAATCATAAGAAATTACGATAAAATTATTTAGAAATAAGACATTTCCCAATTTCAAAGATACTAAATATAGAAACAGTACATTTTAGACTTGATGAAATCCTATTTATGGGTAATACATTATTTTTTCAATAGACAGCAATGCTGAGCACTCCACTTTTCAGCAACCTCGAACAATCCTCAACAGCAGAGAAGCCTCGTAGCACTATCTAAAATAGCAAATGAAACGCATCCGCTTTGAATTATTGGAAAACACTGAGGTGGGTCACAGTGCCATGATGATCTCTTTTTACTCATCACCCTTTCACCCCAGTAATTATTATTATTTTTTTTAGAGGTTTTTGCTATAGGGCACGTGCGCTCGCCAGAAAGACAGAGAGAGACAGAGAGACAGAAAGTGAGAAATCACCCCTTCAGGGGGATGGCTACGCCGCAATCCCTTCTCCTCCTTTCTCCCCTTGGGATCTTGGGCACGCACGCACACGCACCTAGCATGAGTTTAAGCCACCGGGTCTGGGACTTGAACCACAGTCAACTATGTGGGAGTCTAGCGACATAGCCATTACGCTAACTGCTGGTCCCTCACCCCAGTAATTATTGAGGGCCAGATATTTATTATTATTTAAAAATCACAGATTTATTATTTCTTAGGAGCTACGTATTCTGATCTTTAAAATCATTTAATTATTGAAAGCAGAAAACATATGATATATTTCTAAGTTCAGATCTTTAATTCTTGATTAGATTAATCTGCAATGCTTAACAAATATTTCAGTGAGTGAATAGTAAGTTATTCTTTTTTTTTTTTTAATTTACCAGAGGGCACATATACTGATCAGAGAGAGAGAGACAAAAACAGAGAGACAGAAAATATTCCACAATGGGATGTGGTCAGGCCACAATCCTGTCTCCACTTCTCTATCCTATTGGGATTTGGGGCCCCCACACACACATTCCTGGCATGTTCTTTAAGCTTCCAGGGCCTGTGTTCAGTCACATGGTCAGCCACATGGGATCCAACTCTCTTAACCAACAGGCCATAGGGCTTGCCTGGTGAGTAGATTAGTTTTTTTTTTTTTAAGAATTATTTTTATTTAATTTTCTTTATTTATTTCAATTTGACTAAAGGGGGACAGAGTGTGAGAGAGAGAAAGCAAGAAAGCAAGCCACCAGGTTGGCCATGTGGGAGTCCAGCACCCTTATCCACCACACCACCTGCTGGCCCTATTTTTTTTTTAATTTATGAGAGAGTGTGTGTGCTCACCAGAGAGAGAGAGAGAGAGAGAGAGAGAGAGAGGGAGAGGGAGAGAGAGAAGGCAAAAGTGAAGTATGGTCACAGTGAAATAACTCTCTCATCCACTTCTCCCTCCTTTTGAGATTTTGGCCATGCACACACACATGCCCAGTGTGTTTTTCAAGCCACTGGGTCTGGGACTTGGCATGTGAGATCCAGCTGCTTTAACTACCAGGCCACAGAGCTGCCCTGTGGCAAATTTATTCTTTAAAATTAAAACATTATTTGGCATATGTACTTGCAGTATTGATTTAAGCTCACTTTTTCAAAATAGCTGGATGAACTTGAGGAACATCTTGTAACTGGCTACTGACCTGTGTTTTAGTTTCCCTATGTGTAAAATGACAAGCCTATCACATAAAGGGGTCTTTAAATAAGGATTATGAAAATGTGTATTATGGATTTCAAAATTTTTTGCATCAAACAAACTTGTACTTTAATTCTGTTTTCTGTGCATTTTTTAAAATTCTGTAGAAGAATCACCAAAGATTAAATGAAGTGATGCAACTGAAGCATTTAAGACACTGCCTTCCGGTAAACACAACATAAAGGTAACTATTATTTTTGTTATAATGCATCATTGTGCCCATAAGGGTAGAAGAATGAGTTGCCACAGCTCCTGCCACCTGGAGAGAGAGAGAGAGAGAGAGGAGAGAGAGAGAGAGAAAGGAGAGAGGAGGAATCCTGAGCTTGATGGGCTAGATCATCAGACTGTGAGGCCACATTCTCTCCTTATTAATTGGATCCAGACCTGGGGCCTGCCCTCCTCTGGCCTTCCATTTGCCTAGGCAGCAGAATGACTCGGCTGAGCAGGCCTGCTTCCTGGGCCAGACGGGGCCCTTTGGGTTCCTCTCTGTCCTCCTTGTAGACACAGGCCTCACACTAGGCTCCGGACTGGGGAGGACCCATGCAAGGCTACCAGGGAGCTCCGTGCCGTGAGTTCTCAGGTCTAAGGCAGAAGCTGTAGGCAGCACCTGGTTCTCACAGGCTCTAATTCCCTGGCACAGGTCTCCTTCAGGAGCCTTTTGGAGGGGGTGTGGGATGCAGGCAAGGTAGGGCTTGCCTTGGTATCTTCCCAGCGGCCATCTGATCACACCCACTCCCCACACATAGCCGAATGGCACTCACCAACTCATTGGATCCCTGAGAGGGACTGTAGGACGGGAAAGCAAATGGTAGCACTTCCTGGGGCAACACAGAGAACCAGTCGAAATAATCATCCTGGCTGATTTGAGGCAGGAGGTGTTTGGAAGGGTACTTGCCTGTGGGTGGAAAACAGAACAGTGCTTTAGGGGCCCTGACGGTATTTGTGTGAGGCCACATAGGGGTGCATTTGCCACAAGTCAATTCATGGCTACTGGCTACATGCCATTCAAAACGAATATTTGTGTTTAAATACATGTACATGTACCATTTTTAGTTTCCTATTTTACGTTAACTCTGCTCCAGTTTAAAAGTTTCATTCGGGGTCAGCAGGTGGCATGGCGATTAAGGTGTTGGATGACCAGATCAAGTCTCGGTCCCGGTGGCTTGAAAATTACACCAGGTGCCTGTGTGTGTGCCCAAAATTCCAAGAGGAGACTGGAGGAGAAGGGATTTTGGCATGGCCATCCCCCTCCAGGGGGGTGATTTCCCATTTTGTCTCTCTCTGTCCCTCCAGTGAGCGCACGTGCCATGCCCTATGGCAAAAACCTATCCAAAAAAAAAAAAAAAAGTTTATTTTACCTCCAAAAAAAGCTATAATTCCTTATTAGAAAATATCTTTGATAAATTCAGCAAGGAAAAGGTTAAATTTAAAAATTTAACCTAGTCTAATTTAAAAATTAAAAAATTTATCTTAAATTATTTTAAAATAATTTATTATTTAAAATTTTTAATATAAAAAATTAAAATTTATATGAAGACATTTTATAGATATCCACACATATTGTAATTCCTAGGTACATTCTATAGTTTTAATTACAAACTATGATACCAGAAATAAAAAATAATATAAGAGGAAAAAGGAATAATTAAAACATTATAAAATGTTTTGAAAAACAAAATACAAACATGTGGATCTCGGAGAGGCAGAGGGGAGTGCAGCTGCTGGAGGCCAAGCCAGGCAGGGGGTCAGGTGAGGGCAGGATGGGGAGCTGCCTGAGGACCTGAAGTAACCCATAGACAGAAATAGATTCATTGAGAGATGATGGGGATAGGACATTTGAGCTCTCAGAACTACTGGGAATGGGTCTCCAACAGAAACAGCCAATCTGTGGATCAGAGGATCAGAATTTCTTTAAATAGTAAAGATGATACAAAATGAAAAAGGTTTATGTGCAAATGCTAGGTTAAGAAAACACCAGATTCAATCGGCAAGTATAAATGATAACTATCTCAGTCTGTCTGGTGACAAGAGGCAGCAGAGGGCACAGGAAGTTGGTCATGGTCAAACTTTACAGACATAGCAGCTGGTCTGAGGCTGGTAGACTGTTTATTATCAGTTAGGTAGGTATTCTGCCAAACCTGGCATGGGCATCTCATTTATGCCACAGGATGGGCTGAATAAGGCCCCCCACGGATATCCACTCCCAATTCTTCAGAACCTGTGACTATGTTACCTACATGGTGAAAGGGCTTCTCAGATGTCACTCAGTTAAGGATCCTGACGTGGGGAGTCTATCCTGGGCAGTCCCGATGGGCCTGCTGTCATCAGAGTTCATTCTTTTACAGAGGGAGGCAGGAGGGGCGGAGTCAGAAAAGGAGATGTGATGACAGAAGCAGGAAGTGAGACTGATGTGAGGAAGGGGCTGCGAGCCAACGCAGGCAGGCGGACTCCAGAGCTGGAAAGGGCAAGGACATAGGTAACCCCATGGAGCATCAGGAAGGAGCCAGCCCTGCCAACACCTTGAACCAGACTTCTGACCTCCGGAAGTGTAAGGTAAGAAATTTGAGTGTATGTGCCTATTGCCTTAGGGCACATGCACTTTCCAGAGTGCCAGAGAGAGAGAGAGAAAGCACCCTTCGATGGGCATGGGCATGCCGCAGTCCCTTCTCCTCCGCTTCTCCATCCTGTTGGGATCTGGGGCACAAGCACGCAAGCCACCCAGCTGGAATTCGAACTGTGGTGGGCCATGTGGGGGATGATTCTCTCAAGCTCTAGGCTATGGGCTGGCCCCACCTGTATGCTGTTTTAAGCCATTACGTTTGTGGCGATCAGTGACAGTAGCAGTGTGTGGTTCATGAAAATGTCTTATTTCTGTACAGCTAACATCATTATGAATAAAACTCATGCTCAGAGGGTTTAGCAGTCTCGCACCGCTGTGTCTCACGGGTGTACTTCACCTGGAACTAATGATGGTTTTCCTTGACTGGACTTCCTTATGCTCTCCTTGTCCATTTTACGAACACTAGCCAGCAAACTGAGTAGTCGTCGCTGAACCATGACCTGGAGTTGGAAAGAAGAATGGCACAGGCTCAGTCTGGTGCTCAACCTGATCCACTTGTCCCAACCAGTACCATGGGCTGAGATCGCTGCCCCAGGTCAGAACCCACAGGGAGAGTGGCCGCTGCCATGGAGCCTGCAAGGTCTGAGGAATGAAGACAGAAAAAGACCAGGTTGTCATGTGGCCCTGATCTACCTGATTTATGAGTCCTGAATTTTGCATATTTGCAGAATGGAAAGAATGACTAGTTCCACGTTCTTTCTTCTGGATGTATCTGGATAGTAATGCTGCCCTGACACTGTGTGTACAGTTCAAGGACAGGCTACATGGGTGAGTGCGCAGGGACAGGGCTCCGGACTGTGGGCAAGGCTAACTGCACACCATCGGATTGCAGGGGAGTGCCACCTGGGCCCAGAGCTGGCTGATGGTTGTTCATCCCACAGCTTGCACGCCTTTCCATCCTGTGGAGGGCTCTCTAACACCTGTTCTGAAGTGGCTTTTGGCCCAGTCCTGCGCAAGGCATTGGAGGATACAGCAGAGGACAAAGTAATGTCCTGCAGGCGGTGCTGACACTTCAGGTGTGTGTGCGAGTGGTGGGCAGAGTGGGAAGACAGTGGACTCTTAGAGAAGCACAAGATCAATACCATGAAGAACATAAAAGAAGGTAAATGCACAAGGGCACAACTGAAGGGCTGGGGCTAGAGGGTGGGGTGGTCCTGCCTTCTAATGCAGGATAATGAGGGGCGGCCTCTCTGAGGATGTGAGGCTTGGTCTGAGGCTTGAACAATGAGGGGACGTTGCTGGAAAGGTCTTGGGAAGGAATTGGCATGTATAGGAATCTTGATGCAGGAACAAAAGAGACATGGTAAAGGGACAGAGGGGAGTCCCGTGTGGTCTTGCAGCGTTGACAGAAATTGTACATTTTAGTTCTAATTGGGATGGGAAGCCTTTGGAGGGTTTTAGCGAGGAGAGATGTTGTCCTCTTAGAGTTTTGCAGATGCTGCCCTGGCTGTACGTGGGGACTGGGAGCAGGGAGGCCTGTGGCACTGGTCTTGGTGACCATGCTGGGAGCCTGGGCTGTGATTGGGAAGATGGCAAGAAGTCATTAGGCTGGGGCCATACTGGCACATGGAACGGAATGTCCTTGCAGTGGTGTGTGAGGAAGAAACTGAGTCTTCACTAAGAAAGCACATCACTGCCCTCAACAATCCTTCCAGGCGGGCAGGTGCACTGCAGAGGGCTGGGCAGGGGGTGGGGTGTCCCCCACTGCAGCGAGCCAGCCTGGCCAGGCCCTTGCTGTTGTTAGCCTGTTGTCCACAGCTGTGCCTTCTTCCCTTGGAGTACAGGTTTGTGCCTCCTCTTTGGACCACTTCCTGCACTGAATATCTTTTCTTTAAATTATTTTAAAAATTATTTTACTCAGGACCAGCAGTTAGCATAATGGCTATGTCGCTGGACTCCCATGTAGTCGACCGCGGTTCGCGTCCTGGACCCGGTGGCTTAAAACTCACACCGGACGCGTGTGCATGCGTGCCCAAGATCCCGAGAGGAGAACGGAGGAGGATTGCGGCATTGCCAAACCCCCTGGGGAGTGATTTCTCGCTTTCTGTCTCTCTGTCTCTCTCTGTCTGGTGAGTGCATGCTCCCTATAGCAAAAAAAAAACCTCTCCAAAAAAAAATTATTTTACTCAGAATCGAGAGTACGTGAGTACATGCACACGAGAGAGAGAGAGAGAGAGAGAGAGAGAGAGAGAGAGAGAGAAAACTCTTACAGGGTCCTGTCAGACCATGATCCCCTTCCCCTTCCCCCAGCCCAGCTTGTCAGGACCCTGGGCACACACACATGGCCTGCATGTTTCAGGCCATCCTGGGGAACTGAACCCACAGTAGGGCTGTGTGACCTTCAGCACTGCAGTCCAGTTCACTACCAACTGCATCATCACCCTGGGCCCTGGCAGCAAGCATCTTGTGGCAGCCTCTGCTCTGCTCACATACACGGACCACTATTCAGCAGGGCCTTGTGGATGGGGAGTGTCACCCAACATAGTGAGCTCCTCTCCTCTCAGACTGCCACCAGTCCAGGCTGAGAGTACCGCCCGAGAGATGCCTGTGACATGAACTTCTGGGGTCTCTTTTCCATAGTTACTCATGTCTTCACAAGCCCTGTGTCAGGTCTTATTGTGGCCAGCACACAGATGAGGAAACTAAGGCATGGAGTTAGTAACTTGTCCAAGACCCGAGAGCTCACAGGAAGCAGCAGCAAGCACTGAGCACAGGCAGCCTGGCTCCAGATCCAGGTCTTCACTGCGCTCCACCTTCCCTTCCATGAGGGAAGCCATACTCCATGGCAGGGAGGAGAGGGCTGCAGTGGTGTAGGATGCAACAGGCACCAAGGGCCCCTGAGTGTTACAACTTACACGGACTGCCTCCTGGAGGAAAGGTGGGTTTGAGCTGGCCCAAGGACAGGTGTGGCCCGTGGAGAGGCAGGCAAGCCAAAGGTGAGGAGAGGAGACAACACAGGTGCATAGTTGGAAAGAGCGTGATGTGTTGGGAGAAGAAAAGGACTGGGGCAAGGTAGAGGACAGCGTGCAGCTGGAGCACTATGGCTACGCTGCAGCCAGGTGGCTTCCACATCTATACTGGCATTAGAAACACAGAAGTCTTCACTTTATCCTGGTAACAGGAGGCCACTGGTGGCCAAAAACGAATTTGGGGAAGGCCACCAAGGTCAAAAAAGGAAGGAAGATGGCACCTTTGAAGGCAAGTCACAAGCCTGATGTCAAGAACTCCCTCAGGACTTCTTAGCTATTCTCTCTAGAAATAACTGGCCCAAATCCCATTGTCCAAGAATTACCATATGATCCAGCAATTCTTACTCTTTGGTATATATGAGGGGACATTTAAAAGCTCATGGAAAATAGAATTAAAATGCAATTTTAATTTATTTTATTATTATTATTGGAGTTTTTTTTTTTTTTTTTGCTTTTTGGCATTTGCCCTTGCCTGA